AATACACGGTAAGGATGATACCACGAAGCGCAGCGTGACGCGACTTTGATACTTATGAGAAGTGCTTATCGCGGCTTTCCTACGAGGGACTGTCTGATGTGATCCTGGATCAAAGGGAGCCCTTTCATAATGAGCTTGATGGGTTTGCTCTCCTCTACATTGATCAAATCAGATCTAAGCATGGTCGCTTCTAAGAGACACGAACCAATCTGAAGGACTCTGCCATGTCTCTTGAGAATCCTCGCTTCGGGAGCAAATGCTGGGTGCTCTGGATGGACAATTACGAGCGAGTTCTTTGTGGCATATGAGATATGCCAGCTGAAACGAATTACAAAGCAAACCTTGGAGTACCATGCTCGGAGCTCATCTGCGTCCTTGGGTATTGACGGGATGTTCATGTTTCCCACAACCTGTATCACCGTATTGACATAGCGAATCATGCCGACCGCTATAGCAGGAGTGAGCTGTCTTCAAGTATGCTTAGAGTACAAGATACGTACGACGGCTCTCCATAAGCTCCATAAGTGCATGACAACCGGGGCCATGTCCAATGAAGATTATGTTCTTCGCTCCCGAAAGCCTGAAGAAAACTTAGCTTTTAGAACTAGGAAATTCATGGAGACAGCCAACTGTATATAGTTATCCCATAGGTAAGTGAGAACGTCCCTTGACCATGACTCTACGTGTTTGTGGCCGCGCTGATAGGCTTCATGGTCAATACTATAACATGATCACTAGCATACGTACCGGCAGAGGCGAGGTAAACGGTCTCGGAAAGACATTGACATCAAGCAGAGCATATTTTTCCTTCGTAACCCATGAAATAAGTTCCTTCGAAAAGTCGATCTGGGACAGCATGAGTTGGATAAATGTGCCATTAATGATGGGCAGCTGACTAGGTAAGAATTCTCCATCTGCACGTCGCACGTAGGCTTTCCGTCTAGTTCTATGCGCAGATTTCCGCTTTAATAGAGTCAGCAATAAACAACGAGATCACTCGAAAGATGTTCACAATTCATGGACAAATACAATAATTGTAGGATTTTGTAGAAAGTCACTCCTACATTTTGCTCAGTCTAACAAAGTAGTAATAAATCAGACTACGCACGTGCACATAACTTGAGAGCCGAAACGCTCTTCAAACATCTTGGTCATTAATGGAACCTGGAGCATTTGGTATTGCGTATAGAGAAAGTGTTGTCTGTGGCCCTTAAGAATTTCTGCAAGGAATCTATGAAACACGAGATACACGACATGGCATGGAAGGAAATGCTTACCTGGGATTGAGAATGATATTTCATCGACCTCTGCGAGTAAGCTTGTATGAGCAGTCGATTATTTTCGGATGTGAGAAGACAAACCTTCGCGTGGTTCACAGGCCTTGGGGTTCACGCTCTTCCAGTATTTGCTCTGCTCCATAGCGACCTGCCAAACCGTTTCTGTTCCTGCCTCAGACGCAACCATAGGGGGGAGCTCAGGAGGAGCCTCGCCAAGAAGTACGCGAGCAACTGCGAGAGAAGAGTTAGATATGGAATCAAGGTTATAGCCACCCTGTGGAAATTTGAATCGGAATCTCAGAATGTCACAAATTAAGTAGCGTCATCAGTAAACTTACCTCTAAGGCGACGACTAAATTTCCACCGGCAAGCCCCGATAACATGTGTGTCATATGTGCGTATCCCGCCGGAGAAACAAAACATTCGCCAAGATCATCCCCAACAGCAGCGTCAAAGCCAGCAGAGACTTCGTAATATTAGCCCACGGGTGACGTGAAAAATAAAAGAACACACTAATCACTAAATCTGGAGCAAATTCCATTCCTATTGGCATCACAATTTGTTGGAAGGCATGGATATAATCCGCATCTGTCATGCCCTTCTTCGGCCAAGGTATATTGACAGAGCTGCATTCATCAATATCTGTGAAGCTGGACGGGGTATTCACTTACTAGCCAAGACCAGCCCCTTCACCACACGATTCAAGGCTGCCAAACGGTCCGCATGGGTAAAATTGCCCTCGCTCATAGCGATGCAACGAGATGTACAGAACAGAGGGGTCATCATTGAAAGCACGCTGTGTTCCATTACCTACACAAGCATTTGTATGATGAAATCCATTCAGTAATTGACGTACCATGATGTACATCCCTTCATAAAGAGTGAGAATACGAATAAAAGAAAGATCTTGAAGACCTACCAATCGAGTATCAAGATCTTTCTGACGGGTGTCAGAAACTGTGTAACTTTGGCAGCGACAGCGACATTGTTGAAAAAACAAAAACCCATGTGCTCCTCAGGCTCAGCATGGTGCCCGGGGGGTCGCACTATTGCAAAGGTCTTCTTCAGCTCACCACGAGCCACAGCGAGACATGCCTCAATCACGCCTCCACAACTCAAGCGCGCAGCTCGGGTAGTACCGCTTGTAACATACAGAGATAGGGACTCATAATAAGCTTCTGATTCAAAAATTTCGGACGGTGTCATTGCTGAAGAAGCAGGTAAATTCTCGAAGTAAGCAATATATCTTATGCGTGAAACACTAGTGCGGATACGATTTACGGGCCGCCACTCACATTGAATTGCAAGGACCTTGTGCCAATGTTCTTGAGAATGGACAAGAAGGGCTTCATCTCGCTTTACAGGTCGAATCGGGATTTGTTTCATTTTCTGCAATAAATTCGCGTCGCGAATTGCCGTTCGAATTCTTGATATTCGTTCTGGCTGCTCCGGATGCTCCCCAGTTGCCGATGAATGGAGCATCATGTCCTGAGAATAGACATAACCGACCGTGAAATGTGGCAGACGGTGCGGCACGGAGGAGGCACGTTGGACAGGACTCGATGAACGTTGGATGGATACTTGATTTTGGTGATATACTTCTCCATCCACGTCCATTGAAGTTCCTGCAACCTGTCCGTTCATGGTAAGCTCAGTGCCAGCCGCGCTCGATAGAGCTCGGAGACTTGTTTGAAAGAAGAATGAAAGAGATAAAATCACTGTAGATCCAAAACCTTAGTTTATAGACAAGGAGGGCAAGTGGACAAAGCAAGACCAAACACCAGCGACTCCTGCCATACCAAAAAGAGGGATACTATGCCTCGTCGGCGAGGCACATGACTGAACTACAAACAACATGTACCATGTGCCATCAGCACCGCTAACCTGATTTCCGCATCAAGATCCCAGGACCAAGCTAGCGCTATTAGGTGAGTTTTTTTTGGCTTTGGATGTCACCATAGTGATCACGAACGGCTAAGTCAAATTATCATGATGTATTCTTGCCAGCTACCCCGAGCCCTGCGTAGACCGTACGGTATCCGTTGTGTTTGCTAATGAATTAAGTCCCGCCACGACTACGCTTCAAGGTCAGTACTGTGCTTTATTTCATTTTTGTCCACACACCATCGCCTATTTACTTACAATGTGCCTTCTCAGATCTTGTCAGGCTCCGTTAGCGCCATGGCCTTCAGCCTCAAAAATTACCTGTTGTATTCCCCATATTTTTGTTTCTGCATACCAGTGCGATTGGGATTCGTGCTATTGACTTGTCTGTCCTTCTTGTTTTCGGGTGTGCTATCTGTTTTGGTGTGGTTTGAACTGTCTCGTGCGTGTACTCAGGTCTATCACATTATCATGATATAACACTGACGATGTTGTTAGATTCGTATTCACTAACTAGCAAGGAAAAATATTTCTTTTGGTCTGTGGGTATTGTAGAAACTGTATTGCTTGCTGTGTCCATCATTGGGTGCGTGTCATACACACCTCATATTCTGGACTGATTTTCACTTACTGGTGGCTTTCACATAGGTTCATTGGCGCAGTTGCACGCAAACAACGATTTGTCGGGATCTACGCGTATTTCGTCTATATTCATCTTTTCCTCAATGTCATTGTCGGCATCTACTTCCTCGTTACCATCCGCCAGAGCAACCGACAACAGAAAGTTGATGAATGCTATCATATGCTCGTCGACAATGCATCTGAATCCAACTGTCAGAGCCTCATGAATGTCCCGACATACGTTTTCATCGTTGTTGTATCATCTGTATTGCTTCTTGAATTATGTGCGTCCAACCCATGCCCCTCTGCTCAATACTGATGGGCGTCTATCGTCATTTTAGATGGTGCTCTCATCGCTACTAGATATTTAAACACACTCACAAAGCAGAAGAAGGTCGAGCACAGTCGCAGATTGGGATTATACCATTCAGTTGCCATCATCCCTCGCAGTTATCCTCGTGATCCAAGCAGCATGTCTGATGACATAGAATTGCTTCATCCTCGGGATAGTTCTGGCACCACTTTTTCGTCGCTTGGAGGTCCGTATGATTATGGTGACGACATTCTTGACATAACGCATACACCTACAAGCTATGAGCCTGTTCCGACACATCACCCCAATATGCTTTCCCATAACCAACAGCCATCACAGTCGTCGAGCACTCCCGCCCATCATCAGCAGCCATCCTACTCAAGCGCATACCCTCCATCCAATACTCCTTCACCTTCACGAAGCTTCCGTGCACTCCCCCCTCGACCGTCGAGTAGTGTAGTTACTAAAATCCCAGTAACACATATATCACCACAAGTATCGGATCAAACGCCACGTGCGCCAGCAACCTCTGACCCCCCGTCGAGCTTCTCGTACGAGAGCTATGATTCATCAACGCATCCGAATGGTGACGTTGATCGACGGTCAACGTATTCTGTTTCCACAAGCGCACATGCAGCATTACTGGAACATGCTTCATTTATGTGGCCAAGATTCTCTCCACCATCTAATGCTCCTCTAGTTCCGGAGTTGCCACCACCATATCGTCAGTCTGGGAGATAGCATGGACTCGATGGAATAATTCCTCGATTTGCTTAGACTTTTATTATTCATACTTTTTATCGCTACGACACACTGTAGTTTTGTTCTATTGCATTTCGATGGACTTTTTAGGCCAATGTATATTTATTTATCTATAATCGACAGACATCCAAATGCTGTTTTGAGGCTGTCGGACAACAGGTCCAAACATCGAGCTTGATGCCAACCTCTAGACTTAACAGCAGAGACAATATTTGGCAGGGACGAGCAGAACGACTATATCTACACGGCGAGACATACTAGATGACATGCACAAGCGTCATGACGCCCAACGCCAGCACATCATCGACTCTGTACGTTTCATGTCTTCCTGAACGTCGTGTATGAAACTCACACTGGGTCACACAGTTACATGACCTATTGTTCCACTTGCATGCCGTCTCCTTCTTCCTCGCGCCTTCACTCGTACCACTGGTTACCAGAGCTATGTGTTGTCAAATCCTGTGCTACAAGCCGAGGGATATCGACCCCAAAGTCTCTCTGCGATCGTGGTTCCTGCTCACTTTCTTTCTCAATTTCCCAAGCTTCTGGTTACACGCACGGGAAGGCACGGTTGAGGGGCGGACGGTCGTGCTGGATTTTGTCGGAATGGGTGCGTTTATTTATTATTCCACTAGCTTTTCATTGAAACCATAACAATGATCTCACAGAGTATGCACCCTCTAAAATGCACCTCCTTCTACTCGACGTCCTCATCTTGGCTTTCCTATTACTGTTGGAAACACTCGCGTACGAGACGTCGCTACAGCAATCATCCTCTATCACCTCCGAGGTTCTCCTTCGACACCCTCTCGTCCCCACACCGCCACTCTCATACTCGATCGAGGATGAACAACCGAAACCTTCCCGTAGTCAACGAACATACATAGTAGACCTGCGCCTCGCGCCCCTGATAAATCGCATACGACAGCCGGCTCCAGAGGTAGTAGAGCAACCTATCGAGGCACTTCCACTTCCTAATACCACCAACATCCCCGTGATACCCCTCCGTATTCAGGCATTCATGAGGACGAGAGGGCGTCCATCGCAGCCCGAACATGGTTCCACAGCTTCAAATGGACAGGCACAAACTGAGATGGAGCAGAGGTTACCAGGGAGTATGGGAACCGAGGATGTCGACTAGTTTAGTGTATGTATTTTAATGGCATGGCTTTCCACAAGGACCCAAAACTATGTCATCTCCCGGACGTCTCATCTTCGCATGTATTTAACTAGGCATCACCATTTGCGTTTCATCTTAAGAAATAAACAGGGTCAGAAGATACTTTCTTTATCACCACGAGGAAGACATACAGCTTCACGCAAACACTGCCCGAACTTTTCAAATTCCTGTTTGCACGAATCTTTGCGAACATCTGTATAAGCAGCAAGTATGCATTTTCCGTACGTTGTTGCGTGTGACGAGCATGTGGTAGTTGAATGCAGTGCTAATTGCCTGAGAGGCGTGGTGCTTGTCTTCGCTGTCTGCATGGCTGGGAGGAGCAGCACACCTCCGGCAATTTGAATCGCTGATTATATAATCAGCGACGGCTTTGAATTTGAATGCCGTAAATTATACTTTAAACGGCGAATAGCGGCTTCGGAAAGTACTTCCACTGATCACAGTGCACACTGCACTGACAAAACCGAATACATGATGCAGCTTTAACCCACACACCACCACTACATACCACCAAGGGCTTCAAGTTATCCGACGCTCAAAAGCGCGGTATACGACAATCTTTCAAAGTCCTAGTCGTACCGTCGAACCTAAATCTGTCAGCGTCGCTGCAACATGCTCAAAATTTACCTCCTAGTTTCTTGCATCTGCGTGCTCATAGTCGCAGTCTTCTATACTTTCTACTGGAACCGCATTATTTCTGGATTTATTAGTCTTCTCCTCCGAATCAAGTACTGGCGACAAGGAGGTTCCAGTATATGGGTACATATCGGTCAGTTTTTCATTGCACTCGACTCATTGGCACCACTTAAGGTATAACTCAGGATCCATACACCTCTCAATCCTTGCGGGACGCATACTGCTTAAAGATGTCAAATATCATTCCAGCAATATGACCATCAAAATTGTGACAGCTCAAATATCTTGGAGATATTGGTTGCGCGTCCCAGCCACTGAGGATGATCTGAATCACGCTCATGTTGGTGGAGAAGAATGTAAGACTGACATTTATTTGGCCTTTGTGCATCGAATAACAAGTCCCCGCTCCGATAGTCAACCATACGTCACCGTTCCCTTCCTGCCGGATTAAAGTCTCTGTTCAAGGATTTGAGTGGCTCCTATACAACAAGACTGCAGCATATGATCATATCATTTCCCAAATGCAGGCCAAGGCATCCAGAAGTCCGGAGGTCTCGGAACCTCGCAGAATGTTTTCTCGTACTTCAGGAGCTGAAGGTATGTCATTACATTTACTTGTTATCCATCTAACCCACTTGTTTGATCGTAGGGCTGGGTTTCTACCCACCTCCTGCACTGGCAAATGTCAAAGCCCTTCCCGTCATTCATGCTGCACTTGCGTGGATTAAACGTCAGACGCCTTACCTGGATCCGAATGACATTTTACCGATTGCACTCGAAATGTCCAAGGTTGCCATGACTTGCGGTAATCCTTCGACACCAAGTCTGCTGGTCGCAGAGTGTCATAGAGTTGAAGGCACGTTTGGGATTGTCCAGGTCGGCCTGTTCATCTTTGGTACGCATATGGGTACTGACACCTTGGACAGGCGAGGTCGAAGTGCGACCTCTATAAACAACTTTTGAATCTGAAATTCCAGAAAGTGCTTGTACAACTTGTTGAGAATGACAACTACCAGGGTAGCATGCCCATGATAGGGCATCATATTCGCGAGAATGCAGAATCATCGAGGTTCGTCGCGTTTGTGATTAATGGTTTCGACTGATGACATTGCTGTGCCGTATTCAAGTCGGTTCCTAGAATTAATTCCTTTGGGTTATCTTCCATTCCGGGCATTCTCTAGGGTTTGGAAAGGACTGAAGTTATATACGTCTGGCCATGGCTCGTCCGTTCACGACCGCCGCGCAGCTGAGAAGAGTCCTGGACCTATGCCAAGCAGAAAATCAGCCAAGAGCATTGATGAGGAAACACCCGTTGGCGCTGACTTTACTGCTCTAGAGTATGTTGTTGAACGGCGGATTATCGAAGCCCCCATTCTGGAGCTATCATATTACACAGACGTCGTCGGCGATGTGCCTGTTGCGCAGGATGGTCCAAGGGGTATGGGATTGGAATCCTACGACATCGGCAATGGTGACCTGCCTCCTGAGTGGGGTGTAGATCTGGTAATAAGAAAAGGAACCATTCGCTATGGACCATGGGCTGATCGTCAACGGTAACGGTCATGTTCTTATTCGGGAAGCGCGCTCATGATTTAAATTCTATTTCCAGTGTTCATCTGCAACGGACATTTTTCCCATCAACGTATCACGACTTGGAGGTGTCAAAACACCTTAAGCCAGGAGATAAACGTACTTGGACTGCAATGAAAGTGTTTATCGAACTTCGTGATAAGACAGTACTGTATGTTCCTTTCCGAGAGCCTTCAAAGGTAAATAATGGCAAGAGGCTTGTATCTCTTTGTTCATACTCTCTTAGAACTGGCAATGGGACGGTGTCAACGACTATCCGCGTCCAAGGAAACGCGACCACGCAGCTCTTCATTGCACGGCAGGCGACAGTTCCTCAATTAGCTACCTTCTGCCTATGGTTACAGGACCCGACGGATATGAACCTCGTTTGGAGGTTCATCTTGATACAGTTTCTGTAACGTCAAGCCTCAACGATATCAAGCTCATTGCGGCCGAGTCATGTCGCGTTCGTACATGTCTTACTATCCCATGGAGATCATGCTAAAACCGTTCAGGTTCATGCGTCATTTCCATCACCCCTTGTATGGAATGCCGAGCGTCATTGGCCATTCTCCATATCTCTTCGTCAACCGGTTATATATCTCTTGCGAGACCACGTCAATATGTTCACTGATTTGACGCGGGACTGGACCTTTGGGCCGCCTACCGAATGGAATCTTTTTGTGCCGACTATCTATATGCTCGAGCTTGATCTGCACCACTTTGAGCTGAATCTATATGCCAACGACCAGAACATCATTGATAAGCCTCTAGTTAAGGGGGAGAACAGTATGTGGATTCTATCACTTGGTTGGAAACATCATTATTCATAAAAATTCAGCGTTGGTGACGATCCGTGCACCGCGTTTCAACATTCAAGTTAGCTTCCCGTCAAATAAATATCGACCCGAGGCGACGTCTATTCCATTCGCTGTCGATGTTCCAGATGTAAACGTTTTTCTCTCTTTGCCGAGGTGGAATACACAGTGTCTCTACAACTCAGGGAAAGAACATCGTATAATCCACGCAGCAACCTTTCGCATCACGGCATCGTATTACTTCTGGGCTGATGTTCAAGCTGACAACATTGATCAGTTAAAACTCACTGTCGAGGTATGTCTAGCATTCCCCGATTGTGTCCCTGGCTCATTGTCGCTAAGACTGGTAAGGTCGCCTATAAGGCCCTCGGATGGTCTGTCAGGTACTTGATGGTACTTCGGGACAATTATTTTGGATCTTTCACCCACTTCTCTACGCTTGTGGAGTATCTTGAAAAACGGAACAGATTTAATTTGGTTGGAGATCCACTGGAGATGAAGCATCGGCCAGGCAAAGTCAGTGAAGCGCCTGTGTATCTTTGAGTCACTTAACGGACGAGATATAGTCAAACTCCCTACAGGTTCAGGTATCGATACAATTGCAGTCCGGGATAATGCTTTTACCTGCGGGTTTACCTGGCTACGAAGTACGTGTTGTAAGCGACAGATCATGCGATGATATTGGCGCATCTACAGTCATGGCGTGTTCAGTGCTTCAACTGGACTTACGACTGCATGACTATTTCATGGGTGGGTTAGCGTCAGACGATGAATCGTAATCAATTAACTGTGCAACAGATGTGTCCCTGAATCTGAATGCAATCAAAGGTTCTATCCTTGGCGCTTGTTCCGAGCATGCTTTCTTTGCCCAGGGACATCAACGTTACAAAGACTCATTCCTAATTGATGGTACTGTTGATTCCGCTTGATCTTAACAGCACATAACTCATTCGATTCCAAGGTCTGAATATCACCGCTAACAGACTTTTCGGGCCACAGCCGCGTACTCGTACATATGTATGTGTTTGGGAAATTGCAGTCGGACCAGTGAAGGCTCTATTAACATCTCATGATGCTCGAATCATGTTGGCATCTATGGATGCGGTCCGTCTTAATTACACGGACCTTGCCAACGCTCCCGCGACCGAGTTCGGAGTACCTGTAGATCCGGATGGTAAAGGAACTGTCCTTGCACGAGAGCATTCGCTGACCCAATTATTCAGTCACTTTCATCAGATTCTCAGCTGCCCATGTCGACGTCACTTGGTCTGCTGGTGCAACAGCCGTAAACCTGTCAATTCCTTCGGGCTTCAGTGTGCATACCAACGATCTGGAAGGCCAATTTTGCGGCAAGCTCACAAGCATCAGACTTCCCCTCGCGTTACTGAAGATTCTGCTGTCATCGAGGGATTCGAAGACAACCTGGTGTGAGGCGGCTGACCTGTCTACAGACATCAACTTGGATATGTACAGATCCCCAAAGATCCGCAATCCATCACAGATGGATTTCATGAAGGGACAAGATGAGCTGACACGTCGGGCACAACATCTACTTGATGAAGTAGAGAGGGTTCGGAAAGTCTCTTTTCCCGATAACCGACAGGCGCTGCAGCGCACGCGTTCTAGTCACCATCGCAATGGACTCTATCTTCCTCCTCCACGCCTCCCACATTTCTGCAGAGCCAAACCACACCCTCCAGCACCGCCCACAAGCGCTGCACACTCCAAGGGCACGGCTGCTTGGTGGCCTCGGCTTTCCTATCTCTCAGAATCCGACGGAGAGGAGAATATATCCGAGGCAGATCGTGATGCACGTCTGGCGTATGTTGTCCATCTTCTAGTTCACCCGCTAGATTAACAGTTTTTGCAGGAGAAGTCGACTTGCGCCACCGACCGCCGTCGATGACGACATCTCTGTGTCAGGGGAGGAGTCAGATGACGAGGACCTAACAGATACCGAATCCTCAGTGAGCGGCTGGTCCTCGACTAGATGTGAGTCGTTTCCAAATGCAGACGTTACAACTGTTGAGTTTAGACAGCCGCAACTCAAAGGCACTCGCTGATCCAGCGCTACCGTCGTGTCACTAGATGGTACCAGAGTATCAACTTGGACGACATCAACAGCTGGGAGGACTCGCCCTTCGTTATAACTAAGGTAAAGTAGGCAAACCCATTTTTCCCGAATATCCCTCAATTAGAAACCAGGAACCCAGAATTACAACTCCAACGGACAAGCCTTCACCCAGAATACGACCGATGGCACGAGCCAATGAAACAACAAGCTCTGTCCACTCTACAACTTTTCGCATACAGTGCAAAAGGGAGATCGCGGTTCGATTAACCCCCTTGGCTCTCATGGGAATCCGAGATATGATTGAAGACCTGCAGTCGCAAGTTCGTATTATCTTTCCAATGTGTCGCGTTGCCTTAACGGTTTGCTGCAGCGGCTCAGTCCAGAATTGACATTGGACTCAGTGATGTCGAGCCATATGGCAAAGCTCGGTGACTCACCAGGTTCCCCCCTCTTGACGGCCTTCGATATTACCATAGGATCAGCACGTCTTCAGGTACTAGAACACATATCCTGCCCAACTTCCTCCAAGGAAGCATCAGCTCAAAGAGACTCCATGGTTACAGTCAACTGCCTGGCTTCCGGATGCCACCTCGCCATGTCCCAAGGGACTCAGAAATTGGCTTGCCATCTAGAAATATCCGAAACGTCTGTAGGAGTAATGGATAACTCCGGAGTTGCTCTGGGTTCCATTTTTTTGCCTGGAAGTAGCCCAATATTATCACTTCGTCGCCTCCAACTAGATGCCACGCAGGGTCATGCTAGCATGTCTGTTGGCCGCTTTGCATTGGAACTTCAGCCTACTAGCCTCGAGTACGCTGTCGCCACGTTTCAGATGCTGGAACAGGATTTGCGAGACCTCTTGCTCGACCCCTCTGTGCAGTTTGACTCAACTACTCGTTTTGCTGAGATTGTCTACTATACTCTGGATCTCACTCAGAATAGGGCAGCTGTCGATCCACTTTCGATTATCCAACCTTCTTTCCTCGTCCAACGGGGTCACCCTCAAGCTCTCCGGACACATCCTACCTATAAGTTTCTATTCCATCTACGAACCGCACTCCAGTTTGCCCGCCTTCAGGGAGATATTGGCACAAATAGCACGGGCCAATCCATTGCAGTACATGATGTGAAGGCTTTGGTAAATTCGTGTCTCGCAGAACTCATGCTGGACCTGGACTCCTCCAAGGAAGGTATACCTAGTCCGTTGGAAATGATTTATCCTCCTACCTCTCCGAAGTCCATGAACGGCGCGCGACTTATCATTGACTCCTTCAACTTCACTGCCGACCTTGTTAGCATCATCATCGCAGATGAGTTGCCAGCATCTACCAGTCGTCTGGACATCAGCTCTTGTGCTCTACGTTTTCGCTCTTCAAAGCTGGTCCCTTTGGAAGGAGTCCAATTACAGTCACAGAACCCTTCCCTGGTAAACCATGATATTGCTGCCATCCCGCAGACTGCATGCACTCTCGCTGTCAGCGACGTTAATGTCACTGTTTCCCCTCACCTGATGGTCTTCGCACAATCTGTACTTCGCCTACGGAGGGTATCAAGTAAATGGAAGCCAGTCTCCGGCCAAGCACTTTCAAACTCTGGGCCGTCTCACCTCATTTTCACGGTCGCCCTTCGCCGCGCTAACATTCGTGCTGCAGCTGAAAAACTTGCATTCGAGATCGGGGCCACGAATACGGATATTTTTTTCACATCACTCAAACGAGTCGATCCGTTGATGTACAATGAGGTCCACTCTGTCGGTTACACTGCTAGCTTCAGCAACGCTTTCATACGCGCGAGGGCTACCGGCATTGTCCCAGGAATTTGGGTCCGGGATCAGGATGTTCTTGCTTCCTTGACCTTTTCCTCTGGCAAGCTCAACCTGCTTTGGCGCCAGGAGTCATCAACGAATACTATCCGTCTCGCATTCCTCTTACACAGTACTGCTATTTCCGTGCCTCGTAGCGCCCTTCGTCTTTACCGTTTCATGGAAGAGTGGCAAGCGGACTTCTTTCCAGGCATTGAAGCCGCCACACGAGCCTTTCTAGCAGAGTTGAAGGAAGGAACGGGAAATGATGCACAAATAGCACCGACTCGCCCTCGTGCTGCCAAGAGGAACGCACTAGTGGCCCATGTTACGGGGCGTATCTCGGAACTTGGCGTGTTCCTTCAGGTCATGCGAGGAACGTGGTTATCATGGAACATACACGATTTGACTATATTCCTTTCCTCGCCAAGTGGACCAGGACATAAGCAGTCCACGTCCTTTGGCATCCAATTTGGCTCGCAGACGTTGGGCGTCTCATACAAACAACAGTCCACTGAAGATTATACGGATACGCCGCACATCAAAGTCAAGCTCCCTTCGCTCTCGTTAACAGGACGCCAAGGCCGTGCTTTTGTCAAAATTCTTGCTTCTGTGGACTTCTTTGACGTTTTAATCAAGCCCTCGCATTGGGATACACTTCTCGTCGTCCAACAGAAGTTTGGCCAAGATTTTGCTGACTTGATGGACCTGATACACCAAACTCGCCAACGAAGGTCTAATCCGTCTGAATCAACGTCAAATGCATCGCGATCCTCTTTATCATTCAGTGGACATGTCGACGTGAAGGGATTTCGACTTGGGCTTGAAGGTCGTTCCTCCACCTCCTATCTAGAATGCGAAGATGTTGGTGGAGACATATCCAGCAGCGATTTAGGTATTGCATGGCGAATCAGGCTGCGTGACTTGGCATTGTCGCTTGCGCCTAGAGCAGGCATTGTGTCACGAGAAACCACCTTCAATCGAAATCATCGATCTGCGTTTCTCATCGTAGATCTTCGTGCTAGGGGAGATGTCCACAGATTGGAATTCCGCATCCCAAAGATCCATGCTGTGATGCAACCTAGTTCTATAGGAGAGATTGGTGATTTCTTAGACCATCAACAAGTACGACATCATCTTCAGCATTAGCCTTGTTACTCAACGTTTTTTTTTCAGGCCGAATTGCTTATTCGGAGGGATCAGCGGGCTGCGGAGTTAGCAGCGTTCAAGGAAAAGACCCGCAGTATTTTGAAAACGTTCGATATGAGAACGAACGAGGCCACTCGCGACCAAAAGCCCCCTTGGTTTAGCGAACATACCCTAGATGTAGTCATTCAGAAGATTGGAGTGGCCTTCCCCCTCAGTCTTGAACAAACGTTGGAGCTTCCCGGGACGAATTCCCGTAACGGTCCTTCAGTCAGGGCTTTCCTGTTCACTGTTCGACGCATCAAGTTTAGCGCTCAGAGAGGAGAAGCGGGCGAGATGTCAACTAAAGACTTATCCTTCCTATTCGTGCCCAGGTAAGACTTGATGGCGCTCCAGTGAGCTCATCACACTTAGCCCTGATCATGGCGCCCTAGTTTCAGGCAATGTTCGTCCGAAGACTTCGCAGCAGACAAGCATAGAAGCCGAAATCGACTGGTGTACCCCTACATGACTGCGCGGCTACGATCCGATACTTCTTTGCTCAGTCGTCATATCTGGTTTTTTGGAAACGTCAGTGGGTTCATTCTGGACTTGGACTCAAACATCCCTGATTACATATTCTCGCTCATTGATGTGTACCGTCAAGGACGAGAACGAATGATCCGCATCGCTGCAAGCCTCCCCCGGGCTACTACATCGAATGCTGACCTTGGGAGGGACGATGTCTCACCGCGAGGCGGACAGCAAGATGTTCCGGCGTCGAGTATATTTGCAAATATGGTCTTCCAGAGCGGAGAAGTGCACGTTCATAGCGATGCAAAAAGTACACAGGCCTCGCCTCCGGGTACTCACCAATTGTTGGATGGACAGCTGCATCCAGAGCAGGAGACACTGAGGCTTCCTATAGTCTCTGCTTTGGTTGAATATCGTGCTTCAGGTATACGAGCCGGTCCAGCAGCCCTGATATTCAAAACCACTATTCATTCCAGCCAAAACACTTTGAGACCGAGTCTTCTGCCTTTCATGACCGAGATCATCGATTACGTGCAGATGCGCTTGCGCAAGACTAGCCGAGGAAATACGCTACTCATTGCGCCATCTCCTACAGAAGACGAACCACCCCCGTTGCTGACCTCGAGCCGCCTGGACAATTTATCCGAGGCATCATCGAGTTTGCAAATCACCTTCAGTCTCCGCATAGACAAGTCGACACTCGAATTAACTTGTCAGCCGGATGTCAATGTAGCAGCTGCTTTACGCTGGGAAAGTGGCGGTTTCCTTATGAACATCTCGCCGGGTGCTCACAAAGTGACATTGACGGGCACTGTGGGTGGTCTCACAATTGGCCTTAAGCACGGGTTTTTGAGCGACGACTGCGTCAATATTGCAGCTCGCAATCTCGCATTTTTCCTTGCTTTTTCCAAGAACGAGGACCATTCTGGAAATATTGACAGCATGATTTCCTTGGTGGTGGATACAGATATTACTGGTGGTGTGCGTTTCTCCCGCCTGCAAGACGTTTTGTGTTTCAAGGCGGTTTGGCTCGATCGTATCCCTTTGTTCGTCGCAGAGCATGCAAACTCTGATAGATCACGTCCGCCGACAGCCTCTTCCTCCTCGGTCACCACTCCTGTTGTGAAACAAGAGGTCACTACTGCGCTCATAATTCGCATTCGCCAAATCCGCTTGGAGGTAGATTTAGGACAGTCCATTAGCAGTGTGACTCTGAATCTCCAGAGTACAATTACGCGAATGCGTTTATCTGAAATGTTAACTGAGGTGTCGCTCTCAGTAGCAAACGTCTCCATCTTTGCTAGGGGAAACGTCGCGGGTCACATAAATGTACCGGACTGTGTCTTTCAGACGATCCGCAGGAACGAAGGCGCCTTGTCCGATGATTCACGCACAGTTAGGATGCTCGAGCTCAGCATGACTAGTGGTCCTTTAAGTGCCGAGCTCGAGTCAGATCATCAACGGCTGTTGATTTACAGGTAATTATTATTATTATGTTCCGCCTTATCTTTGTCTGATCCTCGAGTATCCTCAGGGCTGATCCCGTGCAAGTGGATATCCACGATGATTGGTCACTTGTTTCCTCCGCAGACAGAGGACAAGACCGGCCTTTGCTGCTTACATTCACGGTCAATGGCGAGGAAATCATTGCTCTTGCTACCATCGCAACTATACCAAAGTTGTTGATGTATACCAACAAATTCCAGGCCAATATTGCCGCGCAGCGTGAGGGTGCAAGTCATGAATCAGCCGCATTCCGTGCTACGCAATCGCCCAAGCCTGACAATCCACTCACCGAAGTCGCTTCGGCATTCTTTTATTCTGCTCGTAACCGGTTCAAGGAAGCAGACACGGAGCTGTCCCACAGAATTCGCCAGCAGTTGAGCTTCCGCTTACAGACTCTTCGGCTTGTCCTCTTCCCTCGTACCATGGGGGACACCGAGCTCGCGCAGTTCATTGGACGTGATGTTCATGCGAGCCTGGAGCGTGTGGTGATAGGCGAAAGCCCACCTCACAGGGAGATCCGTTTATCCTTCACGGCCTTGACTATTTCCAAGTTCAGCCAGCCTCAGCCACTTCTCCCGTCAACTATAGTAGTGTCTGACGACAAAGCTTGGGTGGATCAATTGTTCAAGCATCCAACAGAAGCAAACATCGTTGGTCTGCCCACGATGAACATGCTAATGCTCACCGACGAGGTGGTCGAAGAACCCGCCAAGTACATCGACTACAAGTTCTATAGCTCATTCGTGCGAGGCAAGGGCACCAAGGAGCACGAGGACATCTACATCTCGCTCAACGTAGCACTATATTCATGGCTCACTGGTCTTCGCAAGAATTTGACCAGGGAACTGGAACAAGTTCAGGGACCCCAAGACTCACGCAATGCGACAGCAGGTCCATCATCTCGCAAAAGAACAGGGGCTACAGAACCAGCTCCGGGCATGGACGTTGCTCAGATGGATGCATCAAGTCCAAATAGCTCCACATCTAGCCCATTATTGCCCGAAAAAGCCCCGTCACTGGGTCTCAGATCAACTGTCGCAGTTTCGCCTCAGCTGCCCTCAGAACTCTTCGTACACCCGCCACTGCCAACTTCCCAAGCCCGTTCCTTACCAGATCTACTCGATCCTTCTGTACAGCTTCCACCCCCTGTCGCCACGAAAACTTCACCCGTTGTGTACAGGGCTCGTGATCGCGTGATAGAGCGACTGACCATGCGACAACTTGGCGAAGCGACTCCGGATGTTATGCACCCATTCTTCATGAAGACAGCTGGTTTCAACCTTGAGGATTCTCTTCCGCAATACGTTCATGAATATGCCACGATTCCTCTGGAGGAAATCATGGAGGCCCTGCTAAAGTTATATTCAAAACAACTAAAAACCGATAAAGGGATAGGTCAAGATTAAAACAGGTTATGATGGTGACGATTATACTATACATAGTAGTTAGGACATAATGTAGATAAACTACAAACCGTACTTTAAGACCAGCTCTTAGTTCTCTCATTTACTTATAATGGGCATCTCAGTTTTCCCAAGAATGTCATGATTATGGCAGGGGAAAAAATGTGATGCAAGTGTCTATCTAGCTGTACTTCCTGCACCAACATTAAATACACTCAGTAAGCCAAAGCACCCGTAGAGAAGTGCGACTGGATATGCAACGAGAAGACGTTGGTCCGACATCCTCAACACAGCTACAAATATTCCGGAAGCAGCGAAAGTGCACCATATGATGGAAAGCAAGGACAGGACATAGCCAAGGATGCCGCTACAACGAAAATAGGTAATCATGAGACAACTGAGTATTGGAAGCAAAGCAATGAATCACGCACTCTAATGTAACCACCACGCTGATTGCACCGACACCTACCATTGGCAATAAGCAATAGCCTAGCACAGATACTACACGATATGCATCGATGCCATTTTCCGACATAAGATTTAGTAAGGTGTAAATTGAGATGGAGCCAAGCAATCCGAAGCCATATATGTATCCGAACTGAGGCTTCCCTGACTATCAATGCCAGATGAGACGCGTTATTACTGTGTCAAAGAATAAACACTCACCAGCAGTAAAAGGACTCCAAAACAGAAAAAGAACAAGAGCGGGCCGGCGAGGTCTGCATCATCCATTATCCGCTCATCAACACGGCGTAGGGGATTGAGAACTGTCATAGACTTGGCACGTATGTGAGAAAAGTTGATCCCCAATTCTGTCGCGCGCATGGTTCTGTCACCCGGAAATATGTCTTCATAGAATTACATACCCTCCAGCAACGGTGGTTCTCCTTCAAAACCACCGGTCCCAAAAGCGGTCCACCACCCTCCCGGTTGTTGCTGAATATTCCCTCCAAATGCTGGAGCGGCGCCTCCTTGCCCTATTGGCACCTGTGCACCCATATTTCCCTCCAGACTGGAACGAGACCCTGGATAGAACTGCCCTTGGTCTGGTCCAGGCGCGTAAAATTGAAGGGGTACGCCTTGTTGAGGAGTCTGACCATAGTATTGGCTATGCGACGACGACGCGCCGTACTGACTTGCAGTGTCCTGCCACATAAAGATTTAAGTCGTAAAGAAAAATGGAAGATAAAAAAGACTGGATGGAAGTGACGTGCCACGTTTCTGCACTTGTCTGGCACTCGTGTTCTCTTGCCTGCGGCCAACTTCGAAGCGCTCCGACGGCAATTGCCGGCGTGTCCCCAAGTTCCTTTCGTCTATCACAGTCATGGTAAGTATCCCTACCAGAATTTCTCATTCCTCTGCTAACATCCTCCCGTTCTGCTAACAGCCGCAGGTAATTCATATTTTGTAAACAATGTTTGGCTCTCATATGCCAATGTTCAATTTTAGAACGAGTATATCGAGGAACATATAAAACGACATGGTAGACGATTAGATTACTACGAACGCAAGTGCGTGATTAGTTTCTACCTTACCTGTCCGTGCTAACACTCTCGAGTTAAGACGTAAAAAGGAGGCTCGCGCTGCTCATAAATCATCAGCAGTAGCCCAGAAAGCCTTCGGTCTCAAGGCTAAGATCCTGCATGCGAAACGTCACGCAGAAAAGGTTCAACTCAAAAAGACCCTCAAAGCTCACGATGAGCGCAATGTCAAGCAGGCCGACACATCTGCCGTTCCAGATGGGGCATTACCTACATATTTGCTCGACCGTGAAGGCCAGAAGGATGCAAAAGCTCTATCATCTGCAATCAAACAAAAGAGAAAGGACAAGGCGGCTAAATTCGCGGTTCCATTACCTAAAGTTCGAGGGATCGCTGAGGATGAAATGTTCAAGGTGATGAAGACAGGGAAGAGCAAAAGCAAATCATGGAAGCGGATGGTTACAAAAGCGACGTTCGTTGGGGAAGGATTTACTAGAAAACCTGTCAAAATGGAGAGATTTGTTCGGCCAATGGCACTTCGATATAAGAAAGCCAACGTTACCCATCGTAAGTCTCGTTGTCTTGTCGTATACGAAACTAAGACCTCATCGTCTTGCAGCGGACTTGAAGGCCACCTTCCAGCTTCAAATTCTTGGGGTCAAGAAGAATCCACAGTCACCGATGTATACTCAACTCGGAGTTTTGACGAAAGGCACTGTCATCGAGGTCAACGTTTCAGAACTTGGAATGGTTACGACAGGCGGCAAGGTAGTATTCGGGAAGTATGCTCAGATCACCAATAATCCTGAGAACGATGGTTGCATAAATGCTGTTCTTCGTAAGTTATTCCACTTGATTGCAAGTCCGCTGCCCTAACTCAAATCTTGCAGTTGTATGACCGTCGACAATTGCGATATGTTGTATTCGAATCTATCGAGAGGTCTCCTCGATGTTTCAAAAGTAGTGTTCAATTCACTATTACATGTACTGCAAAAGGTGCATACGTTTGTTCAGGCCTCAGGTCACCCTCTATACGCGTTAACACGTAACGCCGCGAGAAACAATGTAATTGGTCGGTGTCTTGTTATTATGATGATGTTGTTTTGGCGGTACCCAAGTCGGTCTCAGTGTCTCCGATCATTGGTAGTTCAAATAGCGTTAAGTTAAGTTAGTTGTGGTGTAAACAAGCCTTGGGAGGGCCTTTAATTGTTGTGGTCTGTTTACCAAAGCTCTTGTGTAGTCGTCCATGTCAACCTCAAACACTCCTGCCTCGGCTTCACATTCTGCCTCGCCAGCTCCTGATCAGGCTAAGAGGCGTCATGTGCTCACCGCTGTCGAACGCCAGCGCTCACAACTTGAACGACTCCTCAAGGATCCCTCGAAGCCTGCCTATGTACCTCCTGCACCGAAGGAGAAGACTATTCGCCCGGCTCGCGAGATGATGAAGAATGTACAGGGATCAAGCGCTGGTGCTGGGAGTGGCGAGTTTCACGTATACAAGGCCAGTAGACGCAGAGAATACGAACGACTAAAAATGATGGAAGATGAAGCAAGATTAGTACGTGGTCGAGCTCCATGAAAATAACATATTCTGAAGGTTTGGCAGGAAACTGAAACAGCAGAGTTTGAGAGAAAGCGGAAAGAAGCGGAGGATATAGCTGAAACCAAGACAGCCAAAAACCGAGCCAAGCGTCAAAAGAAGAAGGAAAGAGCGAAAGTCAAGCCATCAGAGAAAGGCGACGGGAAGGATGGCACGCAAGAAGCTCCATTGAAGAAGAGACGATTGGTGAATGGAAAAGAGCTCGTGTTTAGGAAACCTGGGGAGGAGAGCGACGAGGAAGAGGTGGATGACGCTGAGGAACACGATAAACTCGGTTTACCGAATGACTTGGAAACAGAGCAGGTTCCATCCGAGGAAGCACCCCGAATTGCACAGGAGCAACGAATAATTTTTCACGAGGATGACTAGGCTTGCTTTCCACTCACCTGCATCGTGTCTTCCTGCTCAAACCTGATCTCCAGAGCAAACAACGCACGCAAATTTCAATCAATTGATGTTCTACCGTTCTTTTGGCAGAAACCGTTACTAGGGGTCGGTCGTATGCTCTTAACTGATTAATTGCTGTTCTTATTTTGAATCTGCTTCGCATGGTAATTTGCAAGGTTGTTCTACGTCGACAGACTGCTAGCATTGGGGTTTCAGGTCGCTTCGCCAATCATCAGCATATAAAGCAAAGCCTCTTCCTACTGTCCCCTTCAGATTGATTTGATCCTCTTTGACATCCTCACACACAATGCGTTTCTCCTTTGTCCTTGCTGTCGTTGCTGCTTTGACAGCACCAATATCCGCTATGCCTTCTGTCACTGACAGATCGATATCTACCAGTGAAGGCACTGAGAGTTGCCCTGTCTTTTGCCTAAAAGATATCGACTGCTTTGGCTGCACCACGACCAACTGCGTGAGTAGTTCGCGTCCTGGATTTCACCACCTGACTCACCGGCGTGATAGTATGTCTTTTTTTGCACCGGTTAGTGTGTACGTAGTGAGTATATGATCGATGGCGAGACGCGGAAGCCTCCATCGGGTGCTCGACCATTGGGGGTAGGATATAAGGACTTTGGTGGCGGCGGAGGCGATGTTTGTGTGATCAGGCAGCGAGACGTTATCTGCTGTCTTTGGAGAGGAGCTGGAGGTCGAGAAGTCCTGTGGTATCAGAGCCGTTGCAAGCTTATGCAACTAGCTATCAACAAACCAGCATCTATCATTCATCCTCTAGTCCAATTTGAATATTTTTATCCTTCTGGGGCTAGTTACCGACTCGACCTTCCAATTAACGATTTGGGCCCGAACCGCAGTTTATCCTTTCCATAGCCCTCACACAGACACGATGTAGATATCGACTGTTCGAAAGGGAATTTCAAGTGGTTATGAAGCTGGCGTCTTCCCAATATCCCCTTCAGATTCATTTGATTCCCTTCTATACATCCTCAAATAATGCCTATGTCCTTTGTCCTCACTGTTGCTGCTGCTGCTTTGACGACAGTATCAATATTTGATGTCTTCTATTGCTGATACATCCATACCTGCGTGAGGTTAATACTCAGAAATGTCCAGTGCTAGTACGCTCTGCCTAAAACAGAAGGACTGCTAGGCTACGGCTGCGTCGGCTGCGTGAGCAGTTTGTGTTTGAATTTGAACATACTTTGCAGTCATTAAGGTACACTGTTCGATTACTGAAACTTTACAGTGTGCAGATAGACCGGTTAACCGGTCAGCGCTAGCGACGAGCATTCTCCAGGTTAGATTATTTCTTCCTGTCTGGAACATGATGGATCCCGACTTGGATGACGTTGCCAAAGAAAGCAATCAAACATCTCGCAATGCGATTCAAATCATCTAAAGATTGTTCAAGTCTGAAAGTGAGTACGGTTTGCGCGATACAATGCAATATATCAGTCGACAATGGTTTAATGTACGGGTTTATGATATTATAAGAAACAGCGTTGTATCGAATGTCATAGAATTTCAAAGGACAAAGGAGATCTTTGTAACAGACAGGAAAATAGACCGGGTAGATCAATTATGACCGTCGATATACTCAGAGGAGGCACAACATATAGAGACCCAAAAACGGGTCCAGCGCCCGGCGTGTTTGATTATGATATGAGGATCGGTGCTTGGAGTTGTGTTAGCGACAGCGGGAGGTGTGATGGATGACGTGAGACAGCAGCCTGTGGTTGCGAAGATGACTGAGGCTGAGCCGTGCCGCTGGATTGCGCGGCGTTGCTATTGGGAGGGCGCGAGGTGCTTGCAGCAGGGTTCCTAGTTTCAATGGAATTATTTTCATCCGTCTTTCTCTTGCTGATGCATTCATCTGTGTGGTATGAGATGGGGTTTGAATATTCGAGAAGGACGATGACATACACGTTTGCCCTTGGCATACGGAACGTCGACGACTGCTGAGGGATGCTCGCGTAGCTCGTTATCTTCATCCTTTGGTCTTCCACGATTTCGAACCCAGTGAAAAGGGTGGGGTGCGGATGACGCATCGTGGACATCGGGGTGTATAGGGCGGAATAAAGAGGAAAATCGGCCACGAAGTATGGTGACATGCGATGCCCATGATCGAGGGTGGAGGCGGTAATGTGCAGAAACTTGAGAACATCGAGGTCAAAAACAGCACTGGATGAGACATTAACGACGTACATGAGCGCGATTTGGTAAGTCGTCAAAAAAACCTTGAGGTACCTGGCGCTGGGGGACGATGATCGGCTGACGGACTGGACGTCGTGTAGCATCAGCCTACATATGTTTAAATAATCAATGAGATTTCATTATAAGTGTCACGTACGGTGGGAACCAACTTCAAGTTGTCGGGCTGACTCAACAAAAGTTCGTTGAGACCAGCCTCTTTTATTATCGCAGAAAGGTCCCATGTATACGCATTGCTGTCCATGCAGCTGGTGGCTAGTACCTTTCCATTTGCCGAAAAAGACACAGAAAGCACGGAATTCGCATGGTGGAGGGGTGAACCGATGGGCCGGTCGAGGTTCCATAATCGTGCTGTCTTGTCCCGCGATGCGCTTGCGAGGATGCGGCCATTCGGAGATATTGCAATGGATTCGACAGACCCAAGTGTGCCCATCCACCACTGCGGTCCGTTTCCAAGTTGAAGTACTCCATGTAGTGTTGTGGGCAGAAGTCCGCCATTCTGCCAACTGGTTCTGCCAAACCGGTTCTGCCCGGCAGATGGCAGAATTCTGCGGGCAGAATCCGGCAGAATGTCAAACTACAGGGATCACAGTGCAATAGCTTTCTTCACCTTACTTGGCCATAGTAGCCTTTTTCGAACGACTCAGAGCAACTGCACTTCCTTACCTGTAGAGTAGAAGAAATTTTCAATTGTACAGCCTGTACTCCTCTGTCGCGCACCATTTTCAGGTGGACACGCTGATGGATTAGCATGGTGGGAGAGTCTTGCAGTCAGTGCTGACGGACATCTTTTGAAGGCACTTGCAATCACCCTCTTATCCATTGTTCCCCATGCTGCTGACGTCGAACGCCTCTTCTCGGATATGGGTAGCACTCAGTCTCCGAAGCGCTGCAATCTCTCAGTAGACACGTTTGAAGCGCTGGCCAAGATTCGAGTAAATCTTCGCTACCAGTCATCAGAAGGCCGTGGTTAATGGCAAGCCAATTCGTCGACGTCACGCACACATGCACACCAATGCCGAGCCAGGCATCAACATCGATATAGCTACTGACCTAGAAGCCAATTTTGCATGGGCGCCACCACTCGCACCTCAGACTCAGAACATCGATGATGATCTTGTGGGTCCTGATTCCTGAATCCATATCACTCGACGAGATTGACGCTGCATTTGCGCTACTGGAACGCGAGAAAGAAGCCATGGAACGAGAGCTGGTTGACGGAAATGAAGTGCTAGAGGGCCAAGTTTATTTTGCGGAATTGGAGCATGTTGATAGTCTTGTACCGAAATCTGTTGACGACGAGATCATGGTAGTTGATCACACCTCACGCGACAACGGACAGTGGGATGTGGACGCGCTGATGTCTTCTAATGGTGTTTCCTAGTGACACTTAGTATACATTGTCATACACATAGCCTGGTAGCGCTTTGAAATTTTTGCCAAGCGGCAGAAGTGGTGGTTTTGCCGCTTCTGCCGGTTATGCTGGCACAATTGCTCGCAAACAATTCTGCCCCCAGCACTAACTCCATGTCCTACCAGACTCCTACCCAGCCAACCCGTGGGGAGAAGTCCTCTGAACCTAGAACCAATACAAATAAAACCATACATTAGTCATCATACTATAGCCGAAATTTTGGAGGACAACTCCCCACGAGCGACTGGCAAAACTTGTTGTGGCGTGAAAGTTGAACACTGTTTGTCTCACCTAAAAAATTCAGACTTAAGTATGAGTCAGCAACGAGCTCCCGCCCCGCTGCTCCCATATATGGTATCTTCATCTATCTCGACAATCTATTATGCGATCAATGTCTGCTCTACAATATACAATCCCAGATGCTTCATTAATGATTGAAGACACTGTTAGTGTTACTTTTTATTCGAATTGTCGATCATGGTGGAATCATCCCCTCCAAACTCGCCTAAGTCCATCTCCTTCATCCTGTCAGCGACACCCTAAGACAAATCTGAAGGCTCCGGCAAAGTTCCAAAAGGAAGAAACCAAATAGATATTACTGCGGTGGTAGAACAGATAAGAACGAAAGCGAGGAGTAAAACCGTAAACAAGTACATAGTCATCATATATTCGAGGTCCGCTAGTCCCGGAGAAAGGCGGTCCGTCGTTTTCATCACAATACCCCCCTTCCAAGATCGATGTCCTCATCGAACCTTTCTGAAACTTCCTATTCTCCAGTCATACACTCCCTGAATTTCCGGCACGGAATATATCCAATCTTCTCGTTGTGGGATACGAATTTTGATTGACTGATGACTGCCTTCACGTTTTAGAAACGTCTGGAAGGCTTCGTTCGTCCCATGTTCGTTCTTCAAATTCCTTTCTGGCTCCCAAGTATTTTCTTCTCGCGGCTGACCTCTCCATTTGACTAGAAATTCTCTTCTTCCTCGTCTCATTTGGCTATCTAATACTTCCTCAACCTCAAACTCTGGCGTCCCTCCGAGATCTACTGGTGGTGGTGGCGGCGGCTGTTGTTGTAGCGAAGATTTTGGTGGTGTATAGGGGTGGAGAAGAACAGTATGGAAGGTAGGATGGATTCGTTTCCACGTACGGGGAAGACTTAATTTGTAGGCACGTTCTCCGACCTTTTGAAGGATCTTAAAGGGTCCAAAACGGTGATCATCGAGTTTCTTTGACGGACGGTCTGATTTCAGGTGAGTGCCTTCCAAATATACTAAGTCTCCGGGTTGATATTCTGGGGCATCTTGACGATGTTTATCATAATACTGTTTCATGCTCTCTGCTGCTCGTCTCAGGGCTATAGCTGCTTCTTCGGCGAGTTTACCCATGCGCGAGGCAAAGACGTCTGCAGATTCTGTCTTGACGCTTGTCCGAGGTTCAATGCCTTTACGGGGATGGCGACTGTAATTGAGGAAAAATGGAGAATATCCAGTGGAGGAATGGACCTTGTCGTTATAACTAAACTGGGCGAGCGGTAACCATTCTGCCCAGTCATCTTGACGATAGTTGGTGAATAAACGAAGGTACTGTTCAATTTCCTGGTTAATTCGTTCTGTCTGACCATCTGTCTGTGGATGATATGCAGTCGATAGGTTGGCTTTGATTCCAAGGAGTCGATTAAGGTCGCGCATGAAGTTGGATGCAAATTGAGAGCCTCGGTCGCTAATAACTCGTTCTGGGACACCAAAATCTTGCCACACTCGATCTCGATACAATCACGCTAACCCTTCTGAGGAGAGCTCCCCATTTGTTGGCGCGAGCCGAATCATTTTGGATAACCGGTCCACAACCACAAGTATGGCGTCATTTCCCCTGCTCATGGGAAGTTGGGTTATGAGGTCTACTGATACGAACTGCCAGTTATGTTCTGGTATTGGATTAGGTGAGAGTAGTCCGAATGGCTTAGCAGGGAAGGTTTTAGTGCATTGACACTTTTCACAGCCACTCACATAACGTTTCACATCTGCGTGGATTCGTGGCCACCAATAGGTCCGTAGTATGAGTTCAACTGTTTTGAATCGTCCCGGATGACCTGATATAGGGAGGTCATGGTGGTCATGGATAATCTGATCTCGGAGGGATCGGTCGTTTGGGACATAGATGCGATTCTTCCACAAATTCAACCCCCCTTCAGCTTTCCAGTCTTTCTCACCTCTTCGTACAGCTTCTTTCACAAATCTTTCTACCCTTTTCGATGCTCAGATTTTCGATAAAATTTCGTCTCCTTCCATTTCTACCTCTGTTGCAACTGCTCTAAACCATTCTTCTTTTAACAGGACTCGATCTTCATTGTCTTCCTCCCCCTTCCCATGGTCGCCTCGTCTCGAGAGAGCATCTGGTTTTCCGTGCGAACGGCCAGGCTTATGTATAAGGTGAAAGTCATACTCAGCAAGTTCCAATGCCCAACGTGCCTGACGACGGTTAAGCTTTTTGGCTGACGTGAAGTATTCAAGGTTCTTATGGTTGGTCAAGATTTCGAATGTGTGTTGTGCTCCCATGAGGTAGTGGCGCCATTCGTTGAGAGAACGCATGACAGCGAGAAGTTCTTTATCATGGATGTCGTAGTTGCGTTCCACATCGGAAAGTGCACGCGATGAAAATGCAATTGGGTGCCATTTACCGTCGTCATTTAGTTGAGATAGGACGGCTCCGGTGGCATAGTTGGAACTGTCTGCTTCAACACGAAATGGTGCGTCGTCTCTTGGCATGATAAGCACAGGCGCTGTGCTGACCGCTCTCTTGAGTTCTTGGAACACTTTCTCTTCTTCTACTCCCCAATGCCACTGCTCTTTGCCTGTCAAACGATGTAGAGGATGGGCGATTTGCGCAAAGCCACGGATAAAACGACGATAGTAGTTCACAAAGCCAAGGAATTGCTGAAGTTCTCGCTTCGTGGTAGGACGAGGCCACTCTTGTACTCCTCGTACTTTCACGGGATCCATGGAGACCTCGCCGTGACGAATAATAAGCCCTAAATATTCAATCTTGGTACGTTCAAAAGCACATTTCTCGGCCTTGAGATAAAGATGATTGTCGCATAGGATCTGGAGGATTTCTCGAGTAACTCGTCGATGTTCTTCCAAGGAATTGGTAAAGATAAGGATGTCGTCCATGTATACGATTACGACTCCACGACTAATAAGATCATGAAATAGGTCGTTCATCATGGTCTGGAAGGTGGCGGGCGAGTTTGTGAGCCCAAAGAACATTACTAACGGTTCATAAAGACCGCGGTTAGTCGTGAATGCCGCTTTCCACTCATCTCCCTCCTTGATGCAAATGTTGTTATAGCCCCACCGAACATCGAGTTTGGTAAAATACTGTGCATCTCGAAGTTTGTGTATGACCTCCGAAATGAGAGGAAGAGGATAACGATTTCTAATAGTGGCTGCATTCAGTTTGTGGTAATCTTGAACCGGACAAAGTGTTACGACAAACGGTCGTGTGCGACTAGGATGATCTAAACAGCGACAACCACGACAGTGGTACTGAGTGCTGAGAGTCGTCGGCCTTTACAGACAAGCAAAGGTTGCGTACTCGAACGTAGCTCGTGGTGGTTAATGAGGGGTTACGCTGAGATGATAGCAGGGTTTACAGACAGTGAGAGGCGTCACTGAAGGTACAAGTCGATGTCGAGCAGGTAGCTTTAGCGGGACAAGGAGTTCAAGGGTAAACCTAGTAAGATTAAAGTAAGGAACGTCTACTTTAATCTTCGACCTTATATAAGGCTACTCGTCGTATCTAAGCTCAGCCTAAAGCTGGGTTCTAATCTGCTTATCTACATGTGTCAGAGATAGCGTCCATGAGGTGGGCTTCTATCGTAGATAGGATCCACGTGGTATCCTTCTATCAGTACATGAGGCAGCGCGAGGCTTGCCTTCTATCTTCTATCTGTTCATGAGGCAACACAAGGCTTGCCTTCTATCTTGATAACATTAATAGGTCTTCTAGACCTATGTCGTCATGTATCGTCACGTGCGGTCCAGACCGCTTATCTAAGCCGGCAGTTGCCGCTTATCGTCTATCGTCATCTATCGTCGTCGTCGTCATCTGTCGTCACAGAGCTGGTGAGACTCCGCTATCATCTATAGCCGTGCGGGTGGCAGAGGGCTCTCTGCTGGCGGGGGACTCGTGCCATGTTACTGTAACACAAAGTGTCCCATCCTTTTTCTTGACAAAGAAGAAAGGAGACGCTATTGAGGACTTTGAAGGTTGTATTCGTCCAGTACGTAGATGTTCTTCAATGAATTTATCAAGCTCCACTTGCTCCGCGAGACTCAAGGGATAAATTTTGCTATTGAAGGGTTCGATTCCTGGCTTCAGCTCGATTGCATGGTCCCATTGGCGTCGTTCTGGCAAGCGGTCGAAAGATGCTTTCTCGAAGACTGGCATGAAATCTTCAAGATATTTCGGGAGTAACTCTTCCAATGACATCTTCTCCCCCTTCTTAAGTGCCTCCTCCGCTAATTGTTGAGACTGTGTCGTCGTCGCATGCAATTCCATTCGTTCAGACACTCTCTCCCAATAGGCATCCATCGCTGGCTCTGGTTCCATTTTGGTGACAAAAAGACAGTCACCTTCTTCAAGACCAATCCTCTCCGAGCTCGTTTGCGTCCTCCTTGTGTCATCTTCTGGCTCTGAGTCATATGAGCTGGGAGTATTATGATAGCATGTCAATGGACAACGATTAAAAGTAAGGTGACCCGAGCGCCAATCGATGGATGGGTTGTGCTTGCGGAGCCAATCGTATCCAATAATAATGTTAGTCTTTCCAGTGTTGGTGACAGCGAAGGTGAAAACTTCAGTATGATCTGCGATTTGAAGGCGCAGTCTGATAACTGTTCAAATAGGGCCTCCTTCATTGTGTGAACCATCAGCGTTATACACTGGAATTGGGCGCGGAAGGGACTCAAGAGTAAGTCCTTTTGCTCGTGCAAAACCTTCATCAATATAGCAACCAGTAGCGCCACTATCGAGGAGGGCTTTGAGATCGAAGGTACGTCAGTCATTTAGAGTGCTGATAAGGATTGGGGTGATAACTGCATTCTGATTGATTTTGCGGATCCAGGTGCATGGTCGTTTTAATTCTCTCAATACTTCTTTCTGCATCTCTTTATTCATTTCTCGAAGCTGAAAGAGTAGTTCTGCATGAACTTCCGAGGACCATTGGCGGTTAGCCCATCGTCATAACACCTTGAGCGCTACTCCATCAATGTCCGTTAATCTTTCCTGAACCCATAGGAGGGATCCTTTTCTATTCTTTTCTTCTTCTTCAGTACGTTCTTTCTCTCTTTTCTCGTCTTTTCTCTTTCTTTTGTTCCTTTTCTTTTTTTGATACTTTTCTTTTCTTTTGGTGGTTTCTCCAGGTGCTGGTAGATCGCAGTCACAAGATTTCTTATTGATAGAATCGCAACTTATCGTACACTCTGCCGGTGAGGTAGCACCCATTACTCCCGGCTTTCCTGAAAACCCTCATCTCCAGCTTGATCGCTTTTAATCCCAAATATCTCTGCAACTTCTTTCTTCTGCTCATCCGCCAAACTTTCAAACATCGCCCTCGCAGTCTGCCATCCCTTCGGCTTGGAACAGTTGCGAGAGATATGGCCCATCTCTCCACAATTATAGCATTTGATTGGTCCTGCGCGTCCACGTGCCCGATCCAGATCCATAGGTTCGCCTCATCCAGGAAAGGTGCGTGTACCCCCATTGCCAGTGCCCCCGATGCCCGTTTGACCCCCAGTGTTCGTGCCCATGCCAGTCGTCCCAGTGGTCCCCATATTTGGATTACCCCGTCCTCCCATCATATTGCCAGGTCTAATCCATCCTGGCCCCGCTCGTCCTTCTCCAAACCTCCTTCCACTTTGGACTTCTCCCTCACCTCTCTCGTTCGCTCTCTTATTCCTATCATACCTCTTGGCATAATCCCTCCAGGCCGTCAGAGTTCGATCAACCTGTGGCGCTGCTACAATTGCGTCGAACGTTGCTCTATCAAGATTTTGCTGCAAGACATCGAGCAGGGCTTCGTCATTGAATCCTGCAAGAGTTGCAAGCTGGTCAAACTCTGCGAAGTATTCATCGGCAGATTGTTTGGGATTCTTCTTCAACGCATGTAACTTGACTTGAGCGGCTCGTTTCTTATTCGGATCATCAAATACTTCTTTCAACTTCCTCTTGAACGCTGTCCAGCTTGCAAACGTAACAGTTCCCTCTCTCAGCTGCTTCATAACGTTGGTTGCCCAAGTTCCTGCAAAGCCTTTCTTCATAAAGGATAAGGCCGTGACAATCTTCATCTGATCATTAACATAGACGGCCGGTTTGGCAGAGAACAATAGATAGAGCTGGCTCATAAAGGGATCAAAGGTGTCATATTTTCCGTCATAGACGTCAGGTTCTGCGACTGATGCTTTGGGAGGTGCTGCAGGTTGTGTTCGTGGCGCTGGTGCCGGCTGATTCAAAATTTGAGTCACCGCTTGTCCAAAATCCTGCTGTCCTTGTACCAGCTGCGCAAGTAGTTGGAACAAGGCTGGTGCTTCTCCATTGTTAGGAGTGGCCATATTCTGGTCGGTTTAAAGTGAGTTGGTGGTGGACGACATGATAGGGGTCGATAGATAAAAACGATTCTGTGGTTGCAAGTGCTTTCATTCTATTGTCAGCGACACCCTAAGACAAATCTGAAGGCTCCGGCAAAGTTCCAAAAGGAAGAAACCAAATAGATATTACTGCAGTGGTAGAACAGATAAGAACGAAAGCAAGGAGTAAAACCGTAAACAAGTACATAGTCATCATATATTCGAGGTCCGCTAGTCCCAGAGAAAGGCGGTCCGTCATTTTCATCACACATCCTCATGTCCATCCTCCTCATACTCTCACAGCATCTCTTCTATGTCCGCTGCTGAAAATTCTCGCCTTCACCCTGGGTTTGCATCCAGAAGTGCGAGCAACATTTTAAACATATTTGGTGTGATCTTTTTGATTTTCAGTGCAAGTGTGCGGATGAATGAATCTTCAACTTGCGTAGATGTTGTTTTTGATGCTTTGAAATGCAGTCCATTGCATTCACTCGACAGATCGACCATCTCGTCACAAAGAACCCGGACAATGACTTCAGACGCCCAACCAAAGACAACCTCGCGGCATCCAGTGGACAAGAAGAGAAGACGGCAGATTTCAGCCGCATGTTGCTGAAGTGAGTCCTTTATTGGCTAATAGTTTTGCTGTGGTGTTAATATTTTTTTTTTTGTAAGGTCCGAGAGCGATACTTCATTTGCAAGCATAAGCCGGAGGACACTGTCCACAGCATTGTCTGGAGGAATGGCGGGCATCCTGCCACAAGAGGAAGGGGGTTACAGCTAACTTCTCATTGTCTCGTAGGGATACTATTTTAAATGTAATGCTGCGTGCTCTATTACAAGTTCAATGTGTATGCATACGTACTACGAAAGAACATGACCATATATGGGAGCAGCGGGGCGGGAGCTCGTTGCTGACTCATACTTAAGTCTGAATTTTTTAGGTGAGACAAACAGTGTTCAACTTTCACGCCACAACAAGTTTTGCCAGTCGCTCGTGGGGAGTTGTCCTCCAAAATTTCGGCTATAGTATGATGACTAATGTATGGTTTTATTTGTATTGGTTCTAGGTTCAGAGGACTTCTCCCCACGGGTTGGCTGGGTAGGAGTCTGATGTCCTACCAGACATAAGCATTTTTCCATCCGGAGTCCAAGCCAGGCACCACACCCAATTTGTACGTCCTTGAAGAGTAGCGACAAACTCGCCTGTCTTTGTATCCCAGATTTTGACTGGGTACTTGTCATCCAATTCGTATCCACCAATTGCAAACATGGACATGTCTGGCGAGTAGACGACTGCCCACACGTGTTTGTACCTTGCCTTGGTCGGTGCGAGGATCGTCTTTCCATTCTCCACGTCCCATTGCCTTGCAGTCCCGTCTTCGGATCCACTCAAGACTCGTAGACCATCTCCACTCCAGCAGACAGTCGTCACTCCCTCTGTATGCCCCATCCATTTGGCAATGACTTTTCTTGTTTCGGTATCCCACAACCTTACTCCACCATCGAGACTCCCGCTGACCAATTTCTTCCCGTCCGGAGACAACGCTATGGTCCACACTGGACTATCTCCCGGGCCATCCCGCCAATCGTCTCCGATCTGTTTTCCACTCTTTAAATTATATACTCGCAACGAGCTATCATTAGAACAAGTCATAATTTGTTGTTTGCCTGGCAGGTGTATGGTGTCAAGGACCAAATCGGTGGCGCAATCCCACGAAGGCCAATTTAAGCAGCAATGCATGCAGTTGAGAAGCCACGGAGATAAAATCAACGATTGGAGAAACCCCCACAAAGTGTCGTGATCTTCTCGTCGGGAATGGTTTCAGAAAAAGGCTGGCTATCGGCGGCGTCTATCGGACATGCACAAAAGGGCATTGCAATACTACGCAAGCGCCGGGAATGATTTAATGATGTATGAAGTAGACGAGTCCTACAAAGCTGAGATCTGAGAGATGGCGGCACGAGCCAAACTTCCAAACCAGAAATCCTCGAGTTGTGGCCATGATTACGTGTCTTGAGTGCAGCATCATTGATGTTCGAAGCGCAAATCCAATCAAGGTCTAAGCCTGTTAAGCAACTAAGTGATAGCAATGGGGCAATCGAGGCACTTCAGGAAGGAGCTTGTGAGGTCTGTAACATCCAGTGGATCGTACGGATGATGATCGTAATCCATGCACACCGACACTGATCGACAGGAGAGAAACCGGACGCTGTTGAGATATTGACTGAGAACGAAAAGTGTAGGTGTAGTGAAGCACATTTGATCGAAGGAGAGGAGAATGTTGAGATGCAATTATGTGGCGCCTGGTCGGCGTTGTATGCCAACAAGACGAGATGCAGATACTCCAACGACGGTAATAAAAAAAAAGCCAAGTGAAGAAGTGCCTGCGTATTAAAAAATTATGTTTTAAGACGGAGGAGCTCCTTCAAGCTACATAGGGCTGTGCATATTGCATCGTCATAAAAACATTCAAGAACCCGAATGTATGGATACCGAGCTTCAAGGGAAGCTAACAAAGCAACCTCGGGCAAAAGAGGGGTGGCCTGAAAGACGACTGTGCATCTGCAACGTGATAGTCGACCCAAGGAGGGTGCACAAGAATGGAATAAAGCGCTCTTGGACATCATGCCAGGACAAACCACGTAGGTTCGGCAACAGCAGTGATGGCGCAGAGTTAAGAGCTCGTACGACCCGATCGTCTATGGTGTCTAGCTTAGCGTAACGAGGCATGAAAGGAGTGGCTCCAATCCATCCAAGTCTTGCCAAAGAATGTCGAGCGCAGGCTCTTACAGGTGCTTGCCAGACATGCAAGTGTAGCGCGAGAGCTCCGAGTCAATCCAAAGTCTTCCTGACAGATAGCGAAAATGTAAATGTCTGGGGGTAAGAGACAGATAAATCCGGGTCTCGACTACGTAAGCATTTAGGTGTATTTGCCTTTGATTGTTCTGATCAATATTAATCTTATCTACTAAATATTTGATCTGATCGTCCCATGGCATCTGCATCAATACTGCTTTGCTACCACATCATCTTGCAAGCGGTTTGCCTCATTGGCTTCGCTGAGCCTTATCACGAAGAGTCTGGAAGCATACTTCATCTCGATGAGTGAGACATTCGAGGACGACTTTGAGATCATTGACGATATCGACGATCCCGAGATCATCGCGTTGACTGAGTTGGGAACGACACTCATCCAGGCTATTCTGGAGAAGGAACCTATTTCGAACGTGCAAGACTTAATAGACGCAGGGGCACCACTGTGGTATCAAGATGAAGATGGTACTTCAGCTCTGCATGCTGCTGCCTACGTCGAAAACGAGCAGCTTGTGAAGTTACTCATCGAGGAAGGCGCCGTCTGGAACGCAGGTGCGACAGATGCCACTCAAGGAATGCCTTCGTGGACTAAGTAGAGAATGTAGTCGACAACTTGCAGAATACTGCTGGTGATATTGCATTGTCGCTCAACAATGTAGCATGTTACAACCTAATCCGTGACGCAGGCATCCGATCAGGTACTAAGTATCTTAGTCTTCACTTTGGACGATTGCTCATAGATGTCCCCCAGAGTTGCTTTTGACCTTACTTTCCCAGACATCCTTTAATCCTACCCCGTCCGAGTCATCACTCGTGCTTCGGGGCGTGGATAACTCCGCAGTTGCATCCACAGACGCCTTTTTGTCGTCTAAGTTGCGCTACACTCAAGATTCCCATGGCCAGGATATTTGCTTGCTTGTCCTTGACGACGGCCAAGAAGTGGGCGTTATGATGGGATGGGAACGGGAGATCAGTAAGTGCAGCCCTTTGAGTGATGTATGACCTCAAACGAGGTGATTCCCGAAATAGTGCAGAAAACCGTGGAGAAATTATGCATCGATCATGAAAAGAAAGATCAAGGGCTGAAAGTTCTTAATGTCGGGTTTGGTCTTGGTATAGTGAGGACCTCGTTGAGTCAAATAGCGCATTCTTCTGACGATGACACAGATCGACAATTTGTTCCAAAATCTCAGCACACCCCCTGCATTGCATGTGATTGTAGAGCCCCACCGTGACGTTCTCGCTCATATGAAAGAACAAGGGTGGTACGACAAAAAGGGAGTGAGCATATTGGAGGGCAAGTGGCAAGACTGCATTGCCAGTGAGGCCCTCCAAGGATTCGGAAAATTCGATGTCATCTATACAGACACCTTCTCAGAAAACTATAGCGGTGAGTTATTTCCTACTAGTAAATCACTAGAAAACGGGATATGTGTTGATGATTTCTCGTTAAGAACTTCATAAATTTTTCAAACATTTGCGAGAACTTCTAGCGAGTCCTGAATCGAGGTTCAGCTTCTTCAATGGCCTAGGCGCAACCAGTGCGTTTGTGCTTTAATTATATATTTCTACGAACTTAACATATCTACAGACGCGCTATTTTATGATGTGTATACTCGGTTGTCGGAACTACACCTTGCCGATGCCGGAGCAGATGTTGTTTGGAGTGATGTGGATGTGAGCGCTCAGAATGACGAAGAAAGATGGGGTGAAACACGGAAGTACTTCTCTTTACCAATCTATCGTTTACCCATAGCGAAGCCCAAGCAAATCTAAAACATGTCATCAACCATCATTTTGATAGTGTAGCAAAAGGTAGTCAATGTAAGCTAATATAATGTGCCATGGGCTCTAAAAGACCCGCCACAGCCTAATAGTGGAGTGTGGAACGTTGCCTATCTTTTGCCCTGGCTTGTGAGTTGATGTAATCAGCAAGAATCACCTTTTGTGGAATCCTCGTGATAATTGTTCGACGTTGCTATGCCAGTTTATTCGTGACAAGGCACTGAGGTACAATGCCCAGCCCGTTGCAAACATGCCACACACGCCGCCTCATTTACATAGCTCTTCAAAATCCACTCTAACCCTAGAGCTGGATCTGATTTCTTTCTCTCCCTTTTTCACATACAAGCAGGCCTTGTAACAGGATTGACAGGCTCAGTCTTGCTATTCATCTTCCGTCTCATTGATCGCAAGCTAGTCTTGATTCAAGTTGTTGCGGGATCTATCGCGTCTACCTGAACGTCGCTCTTACTTATTCGTCCTGACTTCCGTTGAAATGGCATTGAGTCCTCCCAAGTATGATGGCATGATGCGACCTACTTTGCCCCTTTGGTCCAGCCCCAAGACCAGGAAGAATGAGGTGGTAGTGGTGTGTAGTTTATTCCCTGCTCTCAAACATAGTTAACGCGTCTCTTCCAGGAACTATCCCATACTCAGCCTCCTCCCCTACTTCCCATCGGGTTGCAAAACTATGTGGGTCCTTTCATATGTAAGAACCTTCGTAGGTGCTTATCACTTGCATCTAGGTTTCTCTCCATATGTGGGAGACTCGTGTACGTGCTATCACGCGCATGGCTTCCCACTTTTCCAAACCTGCGCTTGAAAGATCTTGGATGTCCGTAGCTGTGATGTAAACTCGTCTCTTTTATGGCCCTATTTTTCTCTGATCTCCTACCATAGCTTGACATTTATCGCTCCGATCGTGGCTTACTACGACTACCTTCATCAATTCGATGATGAACAAATTGACGAGAATGGTCAAATCCAGATCGTCTGGCAGGCTAGGCTCGTAGCCTTCGTGGTCGTAGTTGGTCTTTGGATCGTCATGTTCCTGCCAATTACCATATGGAAATACATGGTGATTTTAATCTGGTTTCTTTATCAGTTCGGTGTACTGAAACGAGTTCTGGAAAGGGACGTGTGCGAGTAAACAATATGATTGATCGCTGGGCCAAGGACGATCTCCGATCTGCTTCGTCCTATGCGGCTATTCCCACCTGGAAAGTCATCATGCCCGGCATGTTTAAGGACGGGATTGTAAGTCTTCTCAACTAGTACATTCAAGATACTCAACGCCAGTTTCATACACCTGGGTTCTTTAGGTCCTGGCTGTCTCCTTCCCCGCACCACCCAGCAGCTTTGAACTTGAGACTTTACCTCCGGTAAGTATGCATGTCAAATATTCATTATATATATCTGACGATGTGCTAGTATGTCGCGCCTCCCGCTGATCAGGCTGCGCCGTCCTACGAGGCTTCCAAACGGTTCTCGGGTCTCCAGGGGTATGGTAAATTTGGCGAGATTCCGCTTTACAATGATGCAAAGGAGATAGTAGTGTAGATGGCCGCACCAGATACCGTAGATAGGACTTAAACAATAGAATGCAGGTCATTCTCGATGAGATGGATCGTGGGAAATATGATATTTCTATTCCTAGAGTTGTCTGGGAGAGCGAGCAATGTACAATAGCTCGCACAATGACGATCTATAGCTTATACATCTACGATAGGTGAGCAAATTGGTTGGTCAGTAGATCATGATGCCCAACCGTTGAGCCAGACATTGTGCATGTGTTTACTATCAGGACTGGCACCGAACCAAGCAGCCAAAGCGAGCTGGAGAAGGAGGAGGCATCTTGAATGCTGTCTCCCAAGCTGTCTCTCCGCTTGCAACAGACAATGCCGCTCCTACCCCGTCAGGATTTAGCAGTCCCCGAAATACATTATCTTCGACATCAGGATTGGTTGTCGCTGTGGGCGAGGATCCTGTAACACCTCTACCAAATCCAACTGAGCATGCAAGGTCGAATACCCTTCCCTTTGATGAAGAGGCAAAGCTAGTATATGGTGTCGTCCTGTCGCTCAGGAACATGGTCAAAAAGATTTCGGGAAGGTGTGCATCACCTGCTTATTCCATCTAATCCTCACCTGACAGCATATAAAGAGATGAACAGTTTACCAGCTACCGCACATCGTCATACAGGCTTCACTTGTACGAAACCGTATCTGGCTACAAGTTCATCATGTTGAGCGATGCGGCTACTGACGGTCTTCGCTTCATACTCCGTCAAATCTATAATGGCCCTTTTCTCGAATACGTTGTCCGCAACCCTCTCGTCCCCATGGACTCTCGTTCTCAGGGCGTCGACAACGATTATTTCCGTGCTAGTGTCGACCGTCTCGTTCGTGGATTATCAGTTTTCAATTGACTACTCGAAAACTCTACCAATATCTACATACCACACCATAATCAAGATGGTAAACGATAAGCAAAAAAGCACTAACAAATGCAAAGGCAACGGAGCATATTGATAATCATTAAGAGGATGGTGCGGGTATTTGTCCAGGTCCGATGGAAGCACCATCTTGTCTTTCCAATTGCCTCCTTAACTGGCCCATGAGTGACTTCTTAACCTCCTTTTCCTGTTTGCTGGCCCCCTTGTCACCGTCGCCTTCCTCACTTTCTCCTGCCACCGCTTCGTCGAGAGCCAGTTTAGTCTCCCCAAGTCTAAGCATATCTTCTTCAATCGTCCCGCGACTGATGAGCTTCACAACATCTACATCCCGCTTTTGGCCAATGCGATAAGCGCGGTCTTGTGCCTGCCGATCATTGTGGGGATTAAAGTCCTGGTCGAACCTTTGGGAGGATGAGCAACTCGTCGCGTATACACTGATGATGTAGATCACTTACATGACAACAACACTTGCAGCTGTCAAGTTAATGCCCATACCACCCGCCTTCGTTGACAGGAGGAATACAGGTATCGACGCATCTTCGGTGAACTCATCCACAAGCGTTTGCCGCACATCTACGGCAGTGGAGCCAGTCAGAATTAGATATTTAATGTCCTTCAGCTTCAAAATCGCTTGAAGAATGTCTAGTATCTGTGTGAACTATACGGGGCTTATCAGCATGGTACCTCTCATCGATTATTGAAGCAGTAGGAACGAACCTGAGAGAATATTAAAATCTTTCGTTCCGCCTTCCTATAGTCCTCGAGCAACCGCAATAAAACCGATATCTTTCCAGCGTTAAGATAGCAGTTTTGATCCTGGAGAAATTTTCGCGTCGACTGCGCAGCGTGAGTACGGCACATCCGCATCAACAAAGTAGATGAACCCCAACCTTATAGCCCTGGCAGAAGAACTGAAGCTCTGCGTCGGTCATGACTTCCATATCCTCCTTGATGTACTCGAAGACTGCGCCTCGCTTCTTGAATTCTGGCTCCTTGAGTAGTTGTTTTGCTATTGAAGTCAACGCCTGATCATCAAACAGCTTGCGGAATAACATAGGATGTGAGGCTGCCTTGCGTAAATCCATGAGCACGTTGGAGCTGTTTTCCAGGTATTTGTCCTTGGCACGATGATTGGCTTTCGCCTTCTTTTTGACAGCTTTGCCATTCGTGACTGGCGTCGTTGTACCTGATGCATCGGGAGTAGCACCTTCTGCATCCAATATCGTTTTTCGCGACCGTTGCAGAGCGTCGTGGTATATCGATCGCTGTATATCGGTCATATCGCACCATTCTATCCGCTCGGTCTTTAGTGGGAGGTCCTTTAGAACCTGTAATAAAATGAAGGTTACACATCAAGCATGATGATAGTGTCATAAACCTACCTGATCCTTGCGCCGTCGAAGGACAAACGGCGTCATCATCTTCTTAGCTCTTGAAATACGCTCCTGAGAAAGTAATGTAACCTTGGCATCGCCTTTCGTTTTGAAGATCGCTCGCAATATCTCTAGCTTTTCCGAGAGCATACCCGGAAGGATGAAGTTCATCAATGACTGGACAGTTGATGTGAAGTTGAACTGAGCAGGTCGAAAGGCTAGGCTCACCACTAACTCTTGAAGGTTGTTCTGCAAAGGAGTGCCCGTTAAAAGGAGTCGCCATTTTGCTTCAAATTTGAGTAATGCCTGATAACGCTGGGACTGGAAATTCTTCAAGACGTGTCCCTCGTCGAAAACGATAGTCTGGTCACATGTAAAAACTCGGGTGATATAGAGCGAATATTTTGACTTACGTCCCACTCCATTTTCCTGAAAAACTTGCGGTCCTTGTCATCACCTTGTGCAAGGTTGTAAGTGGTGATTAGCACCTCCCACCCCGTCCCATTCTTGCTTGATCCCCGCCGTGTGTCTATCAGCATCTGTCGCAAGTTTGCTCGCTCCTCTTTGCCGGCATAGAAAGTTTGCACTGATATCGAAGGTGCGAACCGAGCGAACTCTCGACACCAGTTTTCCAGCGTTGACGATCTGCAAGGAAATGCTATCAAAGCTAGTACGCCGTCAAGGAACGATTAAGCATACGGCACAATGACGAGATGCGGGCCAAAGTTTCCACGTTCCTTGAGCAGAGCGAAGAAACTGATGACTTGTATGGTCTTTCCGAGACCTGGGTACTCTCGTGAGCGTCCTTGCTGTTCAAACCGAGGGAGCACAAACCCATTTCATCGGCCAGAATACAGCTATGTCTTTTCCGATAGAGCAAAAACAGCCAATTGATCCCAAGAAGTTGATAGTCCTTAAGCGTTATGCCTTCCGCAATCATTGAGGGTTGAGATGAGATGAAGCCCTTGGATGCAGCATCGTTTGATATTTTCAATGCACGTAGACTCAACGAGCCTTCCTCAATTTGGTCCAGAGCTAGTGACGCTTCCTTCCCTTTGCCTTTGCTTAACGAATCTTCCGTAGTCCAAGTCGCAATAGCGGCGCGCAAAGTCGAACCAATTCTCTCGCACTCTTCAAGGATGCCATCAACAGTGTCATAGCCTTGAAGGATCTCCTGGCAGTCTTCGAACATGCGGGGGCTGATTCCAGATGGTCCTGCCTTTTTCTTGCCTTGGTTAAGTTTGGTGTTGAGATCCGCTATTGAAGAGTAAGGCCGAAGCTCGATGATCTTCTGTGCTTGTTCTGGGGTGCAACCTTTTGTGATCTTAGCAGCTGCACTTGATAGAGATAGCAGTGGAAAAGATTTACCAGTTAATTCCTGAATAGCGTCTGCATTGGCCTGGTTGAAATACTCAAACGCTGCCCTCTCCCGAGAAATTTCTCCATTCTGCCGGGTTCGTGGAAGCTCCTCCTCGCTTTCACTGGCCTCGGCCTCGTCGTCGGAGAGGATCAACTTCTTTGGTCGCTTGCGGCGTGGGGCCATGATGGCAGGTGTGGATGGGGATGCAGGCGACATAGCTCTGGATATAGGGATGTTGGGAATCGCAGGGGACCGTGTGGTATCTAATGTAGCTCTGTTAGCATAGATGGATGATTTCTTGGCCTTCTCCCGAAGAGCAGCGCGCTGAGTTTTGGTAGCTTCATCGACCTCTTCCACTCTCCCGGTATTCTCGACAGTGAGTGGTTCTGGCGCTGGCATAGACGGTGCTTTCATGGCGATGGCAGAATTAGATGGAGTAGATGTGGATTGGGGCTTCCATGACGAATCAGAGAGGAGCAAGGATGCCTTGTTGTCATTCCCATTAGCTTCATTCCAAGCAGCCTTGAGGGTAGCTAGGTCATGACCAGGGTGCGAAAGCTGGAATACAGTGAACACATATGAGTCAGTGTGGTCTGGGCGCTGGCCACGAACGATCCGCTTCGAGGGACCTTCCAGTGACGACCTGACATCCAGCATCGATTCATCTGACGAATGCGATTGCCTTTCTGCGTTCACATTCTGTTTTCGCCTTTGCCCTGGATGTTGGATATCTGGAGAGCCAGGGGTTACCATCCCAAGCGGTAGAGAGTCAGAGGGTGTTCCGCGATTTATACGCTTTCTCGGTGGACCTTCATCCCCAAAACTCTCAACTTCCGATAACGGTCTCACATCTCCAGCCCATGGACGCGACTGACGCGTGAATGACGCGTGAGCAGAAGCACCACCGTGGACAAACCCACTTGATGAGGACAGGACGTCGGGCACGACTGAGGGACCGGACTGACTCCACAGATTGGGGTGATTAGGGCCAGTCGTTGAGGAACTACCTTGAGCGTACTGGAGATGATGTGGTCGGTAAGGCTGATGATAACTTGCATCTTGAGGTAGAGGGCTAGAATTGGGGACGAGGACTATGCCTCGTGACGGAGTCGCTGGAGGATGGTATCGCGCTGGTGCCGTAGCATCTCGGGACTGCGGAGGAGGGACGAAGGAAGGATAAGCGACGTTGCTGGTGGCTGCTGAGGAGTTAGTAGCTTCAGATCCATCTTTGTTGGGCTTCTTCTGGAACCTTAGTCCGCCAACTGCAGTCGTCTTCTGTAGAAACGACGGGCGCTTTGTGAGAAAAAGATACAAAAAGCTGAGCTCTCAACTAACTCTACTGCTTGCGACGTCGTCGACAGACATCGACGACGACGACATACTGAGTTATATAAATTTTCGAGAGAGGATGAGAAGAACCCAGAGGACTCTAAAGTTGTTGCCTACAAGTTGGTGGGAGGCAAATCGGATGTACGCCATTTACCCGTAACGTCGGAGAGTCAATGGATGTGGCACAAGAAAACTATATTTCCACTAGATAATAGACATGAAAAGCCAAAGGCTGTACAATAGACAGGTGCATGGTATGTAAGGACACTGAAGCCGTCGCGTGGATGGGGAGTAAAGACTTGCACGGTCACGGAACACATGCTGCGTCGGTAGAAGGTGCATGCACATAGAGCAAACGTGTCCACCGTCGATCCTGTCAAAAGGACCGGAGTAAGATGTGGTGATACCGTGGGCACGCCGGCTTCTCCACAGACGTAGCGGGGAGGTAAATAGTAACACTCGTCTCTGGTATTCAGAAACTAGAGGTCGACGATGGAAAACAAATTTGAATGATTTATTATCAGATATGAACTACACATGAAGATGTAAGAGCCTGCACGTAGAGGTGACGACGCACATAGAGAAGAGTTTAGCACATAGTGATGTGTGGCACAAATACTCAGAATCGATCAACGCATCATGAGTAGATCAAGATCGCACAGTTCCATGTCCCGAACACCAAGTGCCAATTAAACTTTGAACTTGATCATATCAAGTTCCTTGCAAAGGAATATCTGCTTCGAACTGTAAGTTTGATTGAAAGAAACGAAGGATCTACTCACTTCAACCGAGGGATGATAACGCGCATCAGTATTGAATAACCAACATCCAAATGATCATTTATCAAGAGATGGGATCTAGCGAGACCCAGCGAGACTCAGTATACAGATGGAGGAGGGATGCAGCCCGGC